GGAGTGAGACAAATTATTTTCCTTTTTGGGTCTCTGTAATCTTTGCCCCCTTCTGTAAACATTTTCCMCTACGCAAAAACATGAGGCAGTTACTGTAACCTCCCACAGTCCTGAAAAGGGGCAAAAATAGCCTGAAAACGTTGTTCAAACCAAAAGAATTAATATGCTCTACAGCTCGTCTTGCCTCGCAGGTGGACCCCTACCACCTGCCTTGGGCAGAACTTAAAGGCTTCTCCCCTTTAAGTCTGTCTGCTCTTAGTTAAGATCATTTCAGCAATTTCTCCTTATTTCTGCCACTTTTCTATTTACTTATCTACCGCATGTTTTCCTAATAATGTAATAAGCAAAGCTGAATAATACAAGGCATATACTGTAATTATCCATTGACTTCATCAATCTTTAAAACAAAACTACATGTTTTAATTTACTTTAAAAAACCTGCCTCCCTGGGCACTGTTTTCTGCAAATATTTGAATTATCTTGTGGGCAGTTTTTTAAGGAAAGTAGATAGCAAAGTTGCACTCATTTCGGGGGAATAGCGAGATTTCTGTACGCAGCTGTGGGACAGCGACAGACAGGGGCAACGAGGAAACAGAAAGAACATCTTACGATGTATTCAATGCTCCCTGGGGTGAGYGGAGGTTAAAACATGAGCAGGCCGTTTTGAGCAGCGGGAAGCGTTAAACGCCGTTAAAGGCGGGCTCCCCCGGCAAAGGGGGCCCTCAAGCGGRGCGGACTGAGGCGAGGGGCGACCCCGCCGGCTCGAGGCGCCGCCGCGTTACCTTGCAGGGTGGCCACGAGGCCGGTGCTGACGCCGGAGATGACATCGCTGAGCAGCCATTCCCGCAGCGGGTAGCGCGGCAGCCACTCCAGCACGGGCAGCAGCGCCTTGGCCGCGCGAAGCGCCTTCTTCCTCGAGCAGCTGCGGGGGATGGAGAGAGAGGGGACAGGCGGTCACTGCCTGGCGCCTATAGGTTTCTATAGGTTTCCATAGGCGGCGCGGCGCCGCTCACGCACCTGCAGGCGGCCCGCGCGCGCTGCCGCAGCGCGGCGGGCGGCGGCGGGCGCCGCTCGTGCTGCTCCGCGAAGGCCGCCTCGCTGAGCAGCGGCCGCGCCACCACGTAGGGGCTCAGCTCGGGCGCGGGCTCCGCCGCGCGCTCGCCCGCCGCCATGGCCCGGCCTGAGGCGGGGAGCCCGCCGGAGCCGCCGCCGCTGCCCGCTCCCCCGCGCGGGGCAGGGCGAGCCGGCCCCGCCGCCGCATTTATACGGGCGGCCGCGGCCCGGCGCCTTGTTGATGGGCAAAACAGAGGCACGCGGCCCCGCGCCGGCCCCGGCGACGCCCCCGCCCGCCCTCCGCCCGCGGCCGCCCCGCAGCGACCGACCCGACCCGCCCCGCGGGGCCCCTGCGGCCCCCAAAGGCCCGGGCAGCGGCCCCAGCCCGGGGGGAGGCACGAGAAAGGCGGGTTCAGACCCCGCTTTGGGCGGCCGTTGTGGCGGCGGGCGCGGCCCTGAGGGGAGCGCCAGGCGCCCCGGGACTCGGCACGCCCAGGGCTAGTCACTGAAGAGAGGAAAACGGCAAAAACGTTCCCGGGAGCCCCACGTCGCTGTCCTTCAGCTGTAGCATAAAATATAAATCAGCCATTCGGGACTGGGTGTGCATTGTGTGTTCTTTTCTCCAAGAATATCCACAAAGCTAAGGTCATTTTCTTATTTGGGCTGCTGTATTTTAAACGGGGAACTGGAGGACATCAAGAAAGAGTAATTCATAGCGAAYGTGGCCCTTGGTAGCAGAGGATGAAAGAAGGATCTGAACCGATGGCACCTCCGGGTCCCTGCAGGTTCATGTTGTGAAACCCACACACGTCTGGCTGGACTGGGCTCCAGGGCAGCATCCCAGAACCCTGGGACCCTCTATATTGGAAAGACAGATGTACGTCCACTTCAGGACAAGAGACTAAAATGAAACCTTCTCTGTATAATCTATACATTTACCMCTATTTGGAAAAACAAAGAAAAAGCAGTGGAGGAGGCTGTGCAAGCTATGCTTCAGAAGGGGTCCCCCACAGAGGCAGGTCTGAAATCAGACCCGTGAGGTTTCAAACTGCAGGGGTGCTGTCCACCTTCAGCATCCTGCCCCCATAGGTGCCCTTTTCTCTTGGAACACTGAAACTCCCCCTTTTTTTGACCTTGATACCTTTCCTTTAAGTTAGCTTGAGATTACACCATTTGTCTCAATTCTTTGGTCACCCTGCTACCATTTCTTCATAAGATGTTCATTTTCCCTTTCTAGGTAATCAGTCTACATTTAAAGCTATCTCACATCATCATCATCATCATCATCATCAGAGAGCTATCGCCTCTTCTGGTTATGTTTTTGGAGAAAGAAGTAAATCCAGTCAGACTACATGGACAGTCTGATCTTGGGCAGGAGAATGGGAAGTTCAGCTACAAATCCATGTCTTGGGGACCAGCTTGTGTCACAGCTGCCCCTGRTGACCAGTTCCCTGGCAAGTGGAATTTTGGAGATGACTCATTTTACCTCCTAGTTGGCTTTGGTRTCTCCTCACCTTCACAGCTTCTTGTATCCACCTCTCCTTGCTCCATAGATATGGGTTCCTGCTTGTTAAGCCCTGATGCATCCAAGTGTATTTGGGAATCTGAGCATCCCAAACTTGCTTCCAGAGCGAGACTGCCTCAAGAGGGTTTGGGAAGGAAGTCTCCAGCATCCAAAGGTGCTGGTCTTCAGGAATGTGGTATCCAGTTCTCATACAGTGGGAGATGAATAACAACATCCTTCCAGGGGAGACTTGCACTTGTGGATGATACTGGGAATTTTGCTAACTTGCAGAGCACTAAGGTACTTCAGCGCGATGGACACAAAACCAGGGGAACTTGCTCCATTTTCCTCACGATGCACTTGGCACCTTGCAACGGCTATTCCTATTTGCAAAGCACTTCAAGAGCAAAACAAGTATTTTTCATAGTTTTATATTAGTTTTATCATAGAAAACAAAACAATCCACGTTCTTCCCGAACGGGGATGCTCAGCGGCAGAGCTGTTTTAGACCATATATGATTAACACAAACAGGAAGGGGAAGAGACACAAGTTGGTTCTCCAACTTAACTTTAATCTGCAAAATTATTTGTATTATTTTTACATAGGGACCCCCATTAAATTAGCATTGTACAAAGAAAAAGTAAAATGAGGWTTTATGTCCCAAACGGCTTACAAAGAAAATTCAGTATTTCAAGGAACACCATAGAATTAAGACTGTCATATAATAGTTACTCTTTTAATATCAGCACATTCAGAAAAATCATCCTAAATGTTATTCCCAATACTGAGCAGAGAGCAGAGCTTTTGATCCCTAAAACAAGCCAGGAAACYACAGGAATCTTTCTACGCAATGGTACTTTCATGTAAGGTAACATCCGAAGACGTTCAGATCCATTAACGTTCAGGTCAGCTCTAATCAACCTGTCACTTCCTTGCTTCCTTAATTCAGCCACACATACCAGTTTTGTCAGCTACTTCCAGGAAAAAAAAAATGCAGAAATACTTTAAAATAAAACTTCTTTCAAACACTTCCCCATCTAATACTGAAAATGCTCATTCCTGCTTTTTTAACAAGCCAACTTCTTACAAAAAAAAAAAAAAAATCCTCCAAAATAACCAAAAACAATTGCCCTGAAATTAAGATTAGTTAGAGTATGGAGAGTTTTTAACTGCTTACTTCTGGAGATGGACCCAGAATTAAATTAACTGTCAAATGAAACTACAAGAAGTGATTTTGATTCCGTCAGTACTAGCAGGTTATTTTTTATGAGAAGAAATCTGTGAGGTTTCAGAAGTCTGAATTGCTGAGCACATGATACTCAACTCTAACCATTCAAAAGACACCAGCAGAGAGACTACAGCTTGTAATATTTTAGGGAAATCTGGTAAATTATTCAACTGTTGAACATGACACAGAAGCAGTGACAGGTAGAGTAGAAAGTCCGTGGGTTTCAAGTAATCCCTAATTTTTAATTAGGGAAACATTCTCTCCAACCTGATCCACAGGAACTTTTAC